TTAGCACAGGTTTATATTTGGACACGACCATTTATTGACGATTGAACCGGCTAAATTTTTCCTACGCATTAATTTAACGGCAGCTACGTCGTTAATGATGACGACTCAATATCGACGGTGATCACGCTGTCGCGTTCGATTCATCTGAAGTCATTATTATAATCGCTGAACGCAAAGATCTATTAAACTCAGTCTCGTGCGATTTCGTGCGCTGCATATTTTTACTGGATCAAGAAAAAACTAACATTTACATTAAATGATGTTATGAATTAATATTAAATTAATTCAGTTTATTTCGATTGTGCAATATTTGCTTATCGTGTTTTATTTAGAAATAGCAATTTGTCATGATTTTTTTATCGCAGTTTTTATATTAAAAATACCTTGGAGTACTCATTACTCGCGTCACAGCGTCGACATATCTTATCGCTTTTTAATTTGGTGAATTAATATCATATATAATTAACATTAAATTAATTCAGCTTATTTCGATTGTGCAATATTTGCTTATCGTATTTTATTTAGAAATAGCGATTTGTCGTGATTTTTTATTTTTATCGCAGTTTTTGTATTAAAAATATCTTTTTGAATACTCATGAGTCACAGCAACCAACATATCTTATCGCTATCTTTTCATCAATTGATAATAATTTCCGCAATTCCAAGAGCGGATGCTTATCGCATAGACGTATGTTATTTTTGCAACAATTTTTTTAAACGTGTTCCGCTGTTCTTATCTACTCGACGTTGCGAATTCCGGATAGTTATTTGCAACATTACGAGAAACAAAAATTAAAGCAGCAAAATTATTAATAAATTAATTATTGAATAATAATTTTTATTCTTTTCTAAATGTAACAAATGAAGTAAAATTAAGTTTTATTAATATCGTCAAAGAGCAATCTTACAAGACACTTGGTTATCTTGCATCCTGTCTTAGCGGTTTTATGAATAGCGATCTCGTTATAAAAAAGAATAGGACTATGTAACAGTCAGCAAGTTTAGGACGTAGCGATATTATTAAGCAAAATCTTGAAGATGGCCAAAAGTTTGGCTGAAATATTTGCAAATTAACAATATAAAAAAATTTAAAAGAACTTTCATCCGTCTTCGGCCTTGGATCCTCGAATACCATCATTTTTATTAATATTTCTTATTTTAAAGCATTTCAGAGATTTATATCGCATCCAAAATTTTTAACATTTATCGCATCGTACAAATTTAGCCGCGCCGAGCCTTTGCGCGAAATAATCTCGATGTCGGTGAACGACGCAAAAATTCATCGCTTGTGTACACATATGAAATAGCTTACTATAAACACGCAAAACAATACCCGGAAAAATAATACGTTGGCAGGCGGCAATTTGCACGATTACTCAATATCAATGCACATTTAACAACTGTCACGAAACACCCATGTTATCTCACGTAGATATTTGCACACACACACACACACACACAAGCATACGTATATACACATATATAATCCACCGCTAATGACACAACGACCGTGCGCGATTAGCCTTCAAGGCCTTGGCCGTTTGGCTCCCTCGTTTCGATATCGTTTTATCCCTTCCTTCTTCCCGTCGCTGATTACGCTACCCTACGTCCGCGATTGCTTTCCGAGGTTTCCGCTTATTGCGTTATTAAGGCTACGGCCAGATCTCGTGTATTAACAGATCTTCACGTGCCGCGTCGAAGCCGTAAGAATATCCGCTACTGCAGTGATGACAGCGTCTTATAAGGCCGACATGTGGCAAAAAAATATAGTAGCTCGCTTTTATTTTTTGACACACTGTTTTGCTTTATGATTATATTGTATCTTTTTCTTTCTTTCTAGTGCCATATATCATACGTTTGTTTTTCAACGCAAAATCGTGTTTCAAATTACATTTTTTTATGCTTATCGATATTTGTCGATTGCGCGAGACGAAATCGCGGCGCTACTAAAAAATCGAATTATCAAATGCACTAATATATCATTTAAAATAGAAGATATTGCTTTATCGCTTCAATAATTATTATTCGATTTAGCCAACAATGAATTTACAGCACGTAATATTGCAATCCACAAATATCCCATTCCAATTCGACCAAGCTGAATTCTCGGAAAGAGAGCAGCGGGGTAAAGTTTCCGCGCGATACAGAAATTCCACTTGATCGCGGCGAGAAGCGCCTAACCGTCGCTTCGTTTTCGCCGAGGCGCCGTGATGGAAATAGACGCCGAATTCGTGCCAACAGTCCACGAGGCTGCCCGGCCCGACGAGGGTGTGCAATTGGAAAGAACGAAGGAATGAGCGTCCTTTGCGCGCACTGGATGCGATACGCTGGCGCGAGATGTTTTACGGTGTCTGGATCGTATGTGGTGTAACGGGGAGGATATAATGAGTGAGAAGCGCGCAATTGTCCCCTGCTGCGTTTCGTGACATTAGTGCCGAAAATAAACGCTGGGAATAAAAACGCACGCATATGCGTGCGGTTGACGGAATTTCAACGACATATGCCTCTCGATCGGGCCGAATTTATGTGTGGGCTTTGCAAGCTGGCTCAGACACAACGAACACATTTGCTTACATAATAATGACGTTCGCTTGGCATCGTAAAAATATTGATATTTGACGGAGTGCTAAGGTGCATATTTTTACATTTCAACATGTCGCTCAAATTGATATAGATATGGTATGTGTCGGCGATACCATTGACATTTCGCATTCATTTTTAGACTTCGACGTATAAGTTTTCAATTGTATTCCAAGCGACGCTTCGTTTGCGTTCGCTTCGCCGGTCTAATTCGTCATAATGATTCTTGCACGCGAAAAATCGCAAGATATCGAGGATTGTCGTGAGATTTCCGCACGCAGGAGGACGCATCTATTTTTGGAGCGCATGAGTATCGGCATCTCAAAAATATCTCGGTTTCACAGCACGATGAAAATAATGTTGCACAGCTGCGAGGAAAGGCGTGAAAGAGTTCGAGCTTGCAATACTCGTTACTTCTTTCTGCACGATTTAATTTGCATATAAAAGAATTTAAATTCCACCACTCGGTGCAAATAATATATTATAAATCATGGAAAGATATGCAGCGTATGATGGGCAGTAGAAGTTGCTTGAAGCTAAATACTTTTCTATGCAACATTTATGTCGCACTTATTCGCACGGAAAATATTTATTGAAAATTTACTCTTATCTTCTACACCACATTTAAGACTAAAATTTTCACGCTATGTGCATTAATTTGTGCAAAAATTTATAACCGAAAGTAGAGTAATAATTATATTTAAACAAACAAGCAGTTCATCTATCTAGATACAAATGATACTCAATATAAATAAAGTCTTGCTCGATGTATTGTACATTGCTCTCGTCGTATTTGGCGTCATCGGGGTTGCGCCACAAACGCGATCGGCGAATTTTCCGCGGTTTCTCGCGAAATATCAAATAATCGCCGATAGCACCACGTACCTTCTAATTCGCGAGCCAAACCGCGAGGAGGTGGGCGATGACGGCGTGCGTCTGTCACGTTGTTTAATCAGATCCTGTTAAACCTAGTTAGCGGTCAGATGGTCGGTGGAGGCGCGCGGCTCACGTGAGACGCGACCGCGCGTCCGTTTGCTCTTCCTATTTTCGTAGCCGTTCGGTATATAAAGAGTCCGTCCTCGGCGGACGTTGCCGAAAGATTTGGCAGCAATAGTCGCGCTTTTCTGCGCCGCGCGCGGCCGCCGTACATAGAGCGAGCGGGCTGGATAGCACGCGGATAGCACATCCAGAGCACAGCGAGGACACGCAGCTTAGTTTATCCGCGCTGGCCGCCGTCATTCGTCGACACTCGTCGTCGCGACGCCCGTTTTACATCGCGTCGGCGTCGATTTTCGCGTGCCTCGCCGGACACCTCGCCATAGGCGGGGCGTCTCAAGATAGACCACCTCGTCTCCGCTTCGTCGCGCGCCTCTCCGAGCCGCGAAATAATCGTGCGAATGCGGACGCGCCGATCCGGGCGTAAACGTGATGCTTTCGCGATTATTCGCGGTGAAAGATTCATTGCAAAAAAGGGACTCCGACCCCGCCGCGTCGGTTGATTAGAGCGAGTGGTCAGTGGATGCGGCTCAAAGTAAACTCTAAATATTGATAACGCGACGATCGTTCGTACACATGGTGCGAGTGGCGCTCGTGCATCCAAGTCAGGCGAAGTCCACGCATCAGGCATTTACAACCGTATATATCGGGGACATATTCGAGGGGTGAAGGAGAGCTTCCACGAAAGCGAAAATGGGGAACACCGATAGTGCCCACGACGTGGAAATGAGCTCGCTGTCGGCGGCGACGGCTACTGCGGATGATCGTCCTCACATTAGGGTGAATACATTATTGTGGCGGTAAAACTCCGGCTAGTCGAGGAAAGGTTTTGTGATATTACGGTGCAAAGGAAATTCAATGCCGGGTCGAAGGAAAATTTCAAGACTTCAAACGATTCATTATCGCTTTATTATTACAATGTGCGTTGAAAACTATTTGTCGATTGATCGAGAAATTATCACTATTAACATAATATACGTTGCGAAATGAGGTAATAATTTCTCTATGACAAAATTATGATGCGCGTGAAAAGTCATTTACCGATTTATTATTATTGCGTAGTCGACACGGCTCGTGAACAGGTTGTAAAACCCGAACTTGATCGCTGAACTGGCGAACGTGTCGGTAAACAACAGTGCGTATACGTGTATTATATCTATACGCGCGACGCATGATGCATCAAACGACGGACTATGTATAATCCCCAGCTGACCTACCTCAATCTGTCCGAAAGAGAGAATTACGGAGCGGGTCGTTGACGTTTCGGCGTATCCGAAAATGTCGGCGCATTCGCCAGACGTGCGCTTATTTCGATTCCACTTAATCGTCTTGCGCGCACTATTTGGCTCATTATGTTCGCGCGGATGTACGCGCGGCGCGGTAATTGGCTTATAATCAGATTTCCCGGTTTACTTCTGTTGCAGAGAACGCCAATGCGCCCGATGATAGCGGAATACGAGCCGAAGAAGCACGGCGTGAAAACAGAACTCTCAGACGTGGTGCTTGTCAAGTAAGTTTGCAAACTCCATCGACGTGAATCCACGCGAATGAACGGTTCGGCGGTTCAAGTTGAACGAGTTTATCACTTGCTACCATGATCAAATCATCACCATTGCTTTCTTTGCCAAAAAAAAAAAAAGAACCCCAAAATGCTCAAGCAAACGTGAGTGAGAAAAAAGAAACCCGAGGATCATATATTGTGCATTTACATTCTCGTTAATATGTGTATTCTTTTCACATTTCTCTGTGCTGTACTGTATTACTACGTTCATTTTTAATTCACTTACTTTTGTTTTCACTCCTCCTTTTGTTTTTATTTGCTTTGTTTTTTTTTTTTTTTTTTTTTTTTTTTTTTTTTTTTAAATCGTTAAAACTATTCTAATCGTTAGTACCACACACTAATCGTGCATACCGCCTGATCGCTGACGTAGAATTCGTAGCGTAGTTGGCACCAGGGATGCTTGACGGCCGTCTGCTGAATCTTGAACGAGTGCGAGGTTGCTCGTTTGTGTGCGTACGGATATATATGTACCTGCTTATTGTGTCATTTTCCATTCTTCACATGCCGCGCGAACCAGGATATCCATTTAATCTGGGACATGCGCGATATTACGTCCCGTCAACCTTCGGGACGTAGTGTCGGCGGGATCCGTTATCCGAGTAAAAAATTCTAAAATGTTCTTCTTTACCTCCCCCCGCCCCCTCTTTGCGCTCATTTTAACGAGGAATTTTCTTGTACGAAAATTCTGTTCCTTTTCTTTTTCAATTTTGCCTCATTCTCGCATATTCTTCCAGGCAGCTTGACATTAAAATCGAAAGTTTTAACCTGCTTGCAAACAAGTAGCAATGAGGAATATTTAACACGGCTGTCCACTAAATCGATATATACGGCCTACAAAAATCGAATTGCATTTTGTGCATTGAAACTAGCGCCGAATTTACGATCTGTAATTCACTCCATTATTTTCATCTTATCAATGATACAAAAAATTCCATTATTTTTTGTTCTTCAAGTAAAAGTGACGATTAATCAGCACGAGCAACATCTCGTAAATAATTATGTAACTCGACTCGATAAATAAACAACGAACGGATAGTGAAAAGTTTCTCTTTCAATATTAAGCACAAGGTGGCAGTGTCAATGGCCATTAAAGGTCATAATGAATATAAAGAGTTTTAATTAAATGTTATTTTTGGTGCTCCAGCGACTTGGAAATATTTCAGACTAAAATAAGTAAGCAATTGAGAATTTAACATTTACATTTAAAATGCAAATATTCTTTTAAAAATATATTTTTTCTTATCGGTAATTTTTTATTCACGACAAAATTTTATCCCGAATGTGCGCCATTAATAAGGTTTCTCATTTATGCAAACTGCAATAAATGAAAACAAGAAACAGTGATGTAAATAGATATAAATGAAATCGGACCACGCAGACGATCGACTTTTTCTCGTTGATTGATTTAGCGGCGCGGCAACGAAATCTTTGGGATCCTTTGCGCTTAAGATGAGACTCCTCTCTGCTGCCGTTTTACCCAACACTCGTAAAATTTCCGTTGACGCAATAATCTTTTTGCATGTGCGAACATTCCTGACCTTCAAGTAATTTGCGCGAATTGCTCACGTGGTTGGTTGATCTTTGACACCTTCGCGCTTATGCATTTATGCATTATCCTGGATTTCCTGTATTCTTCACGGTATTCGCATTGTTCTAATTCCGCTAAACGGAATAAGTTATATTTGCACAGTTAATTGCTTACCAAGGACGGAACGATTTCTATCTCGACTCATACTTTGAATTATTTTTCACTTATTTACGATTTTGAAGTGCCAAACAAATACGATGCTTTATTACGATGATAAAATTCTACGTTTTTTGCTGAGTAAATGCTTAAATATTCAGACGAATTGAATTACGGCGGTCTCTTTCGTGCTCTATTTTTTTTTTTTTTTTTTTTCGACAATTTCGTTTAATAAAATGTTTGATGAAGCCGTCAAATTATACATTGAACGACAGCGGATGTTGTTGCGAAACGATCGATCGTTATCTATAAGAAATCGTTCTACAAGAAAATCTATTTCGTCCGGTTAATCGCCAGTTCGCAATCTGGTGGTGATCGTTTTTACATGTGTTTATACTTTATAATTTGTGACGTCAAGTAACGTAAGTCTTTGCCGCGGGGAGGCACAGCAGAGGGAGAATCATCGCGGTTCTTCTCCGTCGCTGATCGAGAATGCTTCGTGTAGAGGTCATGCGGTATGCAGGGCAGAATATGTTCCCAGAGGATAAAGGATCTGTCTTTACTGTATAATATGTGCATTTATATGATTCCAGACTAGCATATAAACTCCGGGCATAGATTCGGGCTCTATGAAAGTGCTCTGCGAATAATGAAAGAGAACGAAAAACAAAACAAACAAAAAAAATACTAGAGAAAAATCGTAGAGGAAAAAAAAAATAAGACAAATACGGCACTATCGGATCGACGTTTTTTTTGACACCTAGCTCGACAAAACTCACACGACGGACGACACGACGGTGACGCTAGACGCGATCTAACGAGACGACGCGACCGTCGAATCGGACAGTCCACAAAATCCGTGGCCAAAAGCCGATTCCGTTAGTAGGTCGTTCGACGTGTGTAAGAAAAAAAAAAAAAAACGTAACAAGAAAAAAAATAACAAAACACTCGGCCAAGTGCGAAAAGTTCGGCAAGCAAAGGAGGCTTGTTAGTCGTCGTACTGCGTCGTGGCGCTGGGCGTCGCGGTGATGCAGTGCGGTGGTTGCAGCTGCCCCTCTGTATGTATGCCTGTATAACGCGGCGCGTGAACTCTCCGTCACGTTGTAACACGTGACACGGACACATACAGACTCTATTCCGGAGCTTTCTACGAACACAGAAAGTTTCGCACGACTACCGGAGAGAAACTACCGCACCTAAAAGATATGGGTACCTATAATACCTACACACCTAACTTTTTTAACAAGTCCACACGAACATCACGCGTACTTAGTTGTCTTTCTCTCTGTAGACACACGCATACATACAAAACAATACACACACACACACACACACACACACACACACACACACACACACACACACACACATGCGCGCACACACACACACACACACACGCAACGTACAAAACAGATTCATCATTATTCATATTCGCGCAGTACACGTTTTTCGATCCTCGCGGATCGCCGACAGATTTGATGGGGTATCACACTTTACGAGAGCGAGGTGTTGCGCCGGACGTGCCTGCATGTCTCGAATTAGTGTAAATTGTTAACGTGCTGACACATCACGCCGCCATAGAATCGTTTTGTTTGCCATCGCATAAACATCCTCAGAGTGCGATTGAGCGCGGAGAGCACGGAAAAGGGATTCGGTAATGCGAACCGCCGATCGGTTTTGCACACGCGGCTCGCGGAATGCGCGATTTGTTATCGCTCTGGGAAATTTCGATAAGAGAACGATATCGCGCTTGTGACATCACGATCTTGCATTGCCTATCGGTGATTGCCTTTCTGAGTCAGCTCATTGGAGTTCAATTAAATTTCGATAAGAAGAAGGAAACAAGTCACGCGTATGGCCGCGCTTCGCGATTGTAGTCTGACAGTGCGTCATCCAATTCGGGTTTCACTGTTTATGTTTCGGTGATAAACGACGATCCGTGCGTCACGCGTTCTTTTTCTTATAACGAAATCTGATGAATGAATTCAGCGCGCCGAGGGAAAACACAATCGTGTGAAATGTGTGCAATGAAATTTATTGCGTGTATATACACACGTTTCGTGACAATGTGTACAAATTTAGCTTTGTAAAACAAATTGCAATACAAGAGATTGCTTTTATCATATTTCTCGAATATCATAATGAGTCGAGATAACTCGACTCATATGTTTGCAATTAATGCCGAAATATTTCAGGTGACGAAACAGTTTGAACAGTTCGGATCGATCGTCAAACAATTCTGGCCTTTCAAACCAAATTCGAACGGTTCGAACTGTTTGAATATACTTTTAACATATCATATTCTAATCATATTTATTTTATTTATTCGCTGCGAATTCGTATTACGCACTGTAAGGATATATTCAACGTCGTTGTGGACAAAAATATTTTAAATACATTTTTTTTTCAAACATTTTACGAATACATTTTGCAAGTATGCTAAATACGATACGTACAATTTTTTTGTTAAAATGTCCAAACTGTTGAAATTTTCAGATATTACGAATTGATGTTACAAATATTTTTTCAATATATTCAAATTCTTTCGTCTAAGCTCTATTTGCGACATATTAAAAATACATCATGACTTGCGAGTGTGCGATTGATAAATGCGTAAAGTTGTGCCAAACTTGCTGTTATTTTAGTTATCGTTCTCTCTCGGTGCACGCGAACGGAGGAGGAGAGGAAGTAGTTTGTACGAAGAATTCGGCCGAACGAGTCGAACATTCGCGGAATATCCGTCGTTAGCGCGCCCGAGGAGCCCTCGTCGGTCTAATAGCCAACCTAACAGCGTGGTAGCACAGAGTTCTCATTTCCGTTCGCTCTCCGCGAATAAAGAATCATCGTCATTAAAGTTACCAGGACCTTGCCGCCGCGGCCTCCGAATGCAACTCTCTCGCATAACGTCTCGCAATCCTGTCTGCGTCTCTGCTCTCTGTCTTCCCTTGGCATACGAGAGTGCGAGAAAGAGATCCTTCCCACTCCGGCGCTCTCTCATCATACTTCCTCGCATATCAAGTCGTGATTCGAATCGCGGGCACGAGGAAAACGCCGTACCGTGTAAAAACCAAGATCAAGTCCCACGTAACACTTATACTCATGTATCTCACGCGCGAGGCGAATACGAGATGACGTACGGGATGTCGCGCGCATGAGCCGCCCGCCGCTCCTTTCATCTGTGCGAACACTTTTTCGTCAACTCGCCGATTCTTCTTTAACGGATTACTTCGAATACGAGGTGTATTCTCTCTCTCTCTCTCTCTCTCTCTCTCTCTCTCTTTCTCTCTCTCTCTCTCTCTGTCAATAATCTTCACGATTAGATGGCGCGAACGATGGAAGTTTTTTGACGACCGAATTGGTCGGAATTAGTTGGCAGGATGAAAGGGGCGGCGGCGCTCTCGCGCGAGACACCCTGCGTAATCTACGTTCCCATTCACTGCGCGAAGCTGCGATCACGCCGACGATGTGCTAACGCCGCTGGTTTTGCAGATACAAGTGCGAGAAAAATGACGTTCCTATTACGGTCACGAATGGCTCGACCTTGCCACTTGTGGAGCGGCCGAGCGACGAGGAGGCCGCCCTTTACGATCCATTCGAGCACCGAAAGCTCGCCCATCCCACCACGGACCTCGACACGCTCATACATCTTCTCAAGGGTAGCTTGGGCACGGGCATACTTGCGATGCCGCTGGCCTTCCGTAACGCCGGCCTCGCCTTCGGCCTCTTCGCCACGTTTTTCATCGGCGCGATCTGCACCTATTGCGTTCATATATTGGTCAAGTCCGCGCATCTCCTATGCAGGCGGCTGCAGACGCCTAGTCTGGGCTTCGCCGACGTGGCCGAGGCGGCCTTCCTGGTGGGGCCCGAGCCGGTTCAGAAATACGCCAGACTCGCCAAGTAAGTTTCGAGACGTCACGCCTATGCGCTCTCGCGAGAAGCGCTCGGAGAAAGTCGGGCCGCAAACTTCTTTCTCATAATTTCATTATATAAAAGCCTGATGTTACAAAGTATTCCGGAAACAGAGCTCGGCATCTAATCGCTCGCATTAAGACACGAGGAAAAGTTTCGGAAATACGTCGTTTTTTCAAAATTCCAGAACTTCAAAAAAAAAGAAAAAAGAAAAAAGACAAGCGTAATGAAAATAATTCGCGCGTCTCGAGAAATCACTTCTCGATTTTTATTTTAGAATCGGCATTCTTTAATGCCTTGTGTCTCCTACATCGTCCGATATGATTTCCTTCCATTTAGGGCGACGATCAACACGTTCCTGGTGATCGACCTCGTCGGCTGCTGCTGCGTCTACATCGTCTTCATCTCCACCAATCTCAAGGAAGTGGTGGACTATCATACGGATACGGACAAGGATCTGCGGCTGTACATGGCCGCGCTGTTGCCGTTGCTCATTGTCTTTTCCCTCGTACGGAATCTCAAGTTCTTAGCGCCGTTCTCGATGGTGGCGAACGTGCTAATCGCCACCGGGGTGGGCATCACGTTCTACTACATCTGTCGCGACATGCCCACCATTAGCGATGTGCCAAACTTCTCGAGCTGGTCTCAGCTGCCCCTCTTCTTTGGCACCGCCATCTTCGCCCTCGAGGGTATTGGTGTTGTGAGTATACACACACGTCTTTGTGTCATCGATCAATTTCATTATGTTATCTCGGTGTAAATTTGACGTTTCGCGCTAATAAGATTAAATTTATGGCGCGACTCTCCAAATTTTTTTTTTTTCCCCGAACACTCTAACTGCAGAAAAATTGCCGATATACGAGAGGTTAAATTATAAATCATATCGTGATCATAGTGCGTGTAGCGCAATCATGGCAGACTGGTATTGCGACATTGTGTAGCAGAAATAACTTTGCATTCAGCTGCTAGACACGTCCGGACACTTAACGGTCATGTTAAATCGTTCGGCTCGCAAATCAAATGACACGCCTTCGTCCACGCGTGTGGAATGCATGTAGACACGTGAACGCTTCAAACACATCTGCGACTTGCTGATACGTCAGCTAGCCACGTTAAATAGCGTGAATATCTCATCACTACCATCACACTGCAGTGGGATTAAGAAAGATTTCATGGACAATTTCGATTTTTTAATTATTTATCAAGTGCGAAATTAAATTGCGACATGAAAATTCTTAAAATGTAAAATTGTTTACATTAAAAGCTGTAGCTAGAGCAGTGGAATGTTTAAAAATTAAATTGTTTTTTTTTTAATTTTAGAGATATTTAAAAAATATTTTATTTACATCTTATTATTATTTTTCTCATTTGCTATACTTAAAACGAATAATGTACATCGCAAACATATCTAAATTATTTATTATTTTGAAACAGCTCAATAAATTACTTAAAGAGTCGGTCTTTCTGCGTTTTCTTATCGTTGCAATTGTTGCAGATTAGACTCCAAATTATCAGAAGTGTATTAATAATTGAGTCCATAATTTGTTTTCAGGTCATGCCGTTGGAGAACAATATGAAAACACCATCCCACTTTGTTGGCTGCCCGGGTGTCCTAAACACCGGCATGTTCCTAGTTGTGCTGCTGTACAGTACTGTCGGTTTCTTTGGTTACTGGCGATATGGAGACAGCACAAAGGCCTCTATAACCCTGAACCCCCCGCAGGACGAGGTGCTGGCACAAGTCTCCAAGGTAATGATCGCCATTGCGATCTTCCTCACTTACGGACTTCAGTTCTACGTTCCCATGGAGATCATATGGAAGAACGCCAAACAGTATTTCGGCTCTCGACGATTGCTCGGCGAGTATAGCCTTCGCATCGTACTGGTGATATTTACCGTTGGCGTGGCAATTGCCATTCCCAACCTGGGCCCGTTCATCTCTCTCGTCGGTGCCGTGTGTTTATCCACGCTGGGCCTCATGTTCCCGTCGGTGATCGAGCTGGTGACCGTCTGGGAACAAGAGAACGGCTTCGGCAAGTGGAACTGGCGGCTGTGGAAGAATATCGCCATCATTGCTTTCGGCGTGTTGGGCTTCCTCACTGGCACGTACGTCAGCATACAGGAAATCCTGGAGAACAAATGAGACGCCGGATGCGGCGCGAGGAGCGGCCCGCGACAGCCGCTCGCGAGTACCGCTCGTCGCCCGATGTTACTCGGACGACGAGCACCACGTATGATTGCGTGCTGGACGTCTCTTTGCGCGGAGTCGATCGTCGCAACGTCAACGACGAGCACAATGACGGCGGGAACGACGTGACGCTATCGGCGGGCGGATCTTCGGGTCCGGAACGGGATCCTTCTCGAATCTCGATTCCCGCATTCTTTCTGTCGCTAGTACGACGATGTAGCAACGACGATCTAGCAACAAGGACGACGACGACGACGACGAAAAAGGAGACATCCATCCAAAAGTCTTCGCACGACTGAGCTTTCATTTATCAACTTTTTAACAACAGACAGGTTTGTATTTCGTATTGTACACAACATCGCATATAAGACAAGGCGAGTATGTACGGTCGATCACAGAAATTTGAAGAATGGGTTTATATTGCACACTTTTGCTATTGATAGCTACTTGTAACAGAATATATTTTTACTACAAAGAATATCATATCTATGAAATGGAATTGAAAATGAGATAATCATTTTGAGAAGAGAAAGCAATTTTATTAGCAAAAAAGGATCGTCATTTGCTTTGTTTTCTCTATGTAGAAAAAAATTTTTTAAAATTCTTTTTACTCTATACTTTACTTAAAACGGAACTAATAAAGTGACAAATCTTTGGTAATTTGGATTTTATTATGTCAACTACGATCGTTTAGGAGCAGAGGATCTTTTAATCAAGTATTGTGTTTGTAGAAGTTTTGTGTTTTATTTTATGATGCTGCACAACGTAGCAAAATTAAGTCTGAATATTCATTGTTGGTTTTTGCGGTCTTCAGAAGATAGAATTCTTTTGAATTCTAATGACACGAATGCTGTTTACATATTTTTTGTCCTTTTTTTGTTAAACTTTATTTTAATAACGTCACATCGACCGTACAAGCACAATTTTTTTTTTTTACGAACTTTACAATTGCGGGACGGTTTTCTAGAATAGCGTTACGCGAGACATTTCTTGGTCATTTACATATTTTGTACATCTATATATAAAATACGCATGGATATTGTGTGTAGGATGCACAAGCCATCGCGTTCTGTTGATGAGAACCGTACGCCTCGTTTACCATGTGCTTATTCGCTCGATCGGATTATCACAATAAAACAGTGACCTCAAATTTGCATGCTCGCGCGGACCACATGGCGAACACGAGTCTCAATCATCCAGCCGCAGGCGATTAGGTGTTTGCGAAGTAGGATTTGTAATGTGAGTGTATTGATACAGCTATACACGTGCTTCCCCACGTATATATATATATATATATATATATATATATATATATAGCCGATGTTTGCGCGCCGAGCTGAGAATTATTTCTTCGAAAAATTTACAACTAAATCTCGTGATTCACTCCATCTGCCTCCGCCGTAAGAATGTCACGCGAGCGCGTGTCTGAGATCACTGTTGCAAGAAGACGATTTGTAAGATACTGCGTTTTGCGAGAGAATGCTGAATTGAGCGTCACATCGATTTCCTTTCGTATCGATACTCGATTTTGAAAGAAACCGGTCATCCTTTTGGATGCCAAAACGTTATCTCTAAAATAACAAGATCATCACTTATTTCTTTGTGAATATGAAATTTTTATCTATCTCTTGACAGCTGCTGCTGGCTCGAATTTATCAATTTATTAATAAATTGACGGATGTCAATTGAAAGTTATATAAATTTAGATATAGATTTGTTTCGAATTAATTCTTTTTAAACAAAGCTTCGTATAAGAAACGTTCAATTTGTTCTCTCATGCAAATGTAACATAAATAATTTACTCGATAGTACTTATTATCAGCTAGCTGCAGAAATTACGATTGCAAGATCGGTTTCTTCGGATGTGATGATCGATTGGCGTGATTCCGCCGAAAACGGCTGGTCTGTTCCTAGTGCATAATGCACGAAATCGTACAAAAATTTAAGCCATTAAGAATAATAAGCAGGAGAATGCGTAGATGTAGTAATATCGTGATGCACGCTTGCTAGTCTGTAAGTAAGATTGCGAGATACCGTCGCTATTTTATTAGCATGCGAGATAAAAATTTAATTGGTTATGTTATCTAAACCGAGGATATCTATTTAATCCTTAGCGTATTAATCATAGGAGAAGTAGACTCGAAAGTAAAAAATAAACATGCAGATTTACCTTTACGCGTCAATATGAAGGATAAAACGAAATTTGCCAAATTTTTTTAGGAATTAGTAACTAACAGGGAATTTAGAAAATCAAAATTTTTATTAGAAACGAAAATATTGACTATTTTGATAATAAACTTGTGTCGTCTATGTATTTAATAATTAGCAATAATTTCGATTTGTATTTGTCTTCAGAGAAATAAATCTTTGTAGGATACGCAAACGAGAAGACTGTAAATAAATTTTCTACGAAAGATTTGTACACGTCACTTTTCGTATGTGTTTTCATAATTTCAAAAGATATTTCTCTTAAAGCAGTATTAACAGAAAACCGAAATTGTATAGATCTGTTCGTCACAGTGTTTAACTCTTGATAATTCATACCTCTTTGTCGTATTCACACATAAAAATTCATAACATTTTAAACAAAAAATATTGCAGATAAATTTTCCATTACGTAATTCTGTAGTAATTACGTAATTACTACTACTTACGTAATTACATAGAAATAGATTTATTTATTTAATTGTACCGCGCAAATTAATCGTAACAAACATGTAGTATAAAATATATAGTCAGCGTAAAATTGATTGTTTAAAAAGATTTATACGAATATATCGCGCGAATGTTGAACGATTGGAAGTGTAATTCCGATTTTTGCATTGATGAAAAATAATTTTTGTAAAGAGCTAAACACAGAGACGATAAGATAGAGATATTTTCTCCGAAACTCAATCTACACCCTCTAATCGAGTTCCACTTTTGGAACAAATGTTTTATAAGATTATATATATTTGACAAGATGCGAGACACACACATGATTCGTACTGCTTTGATAATGCGCCGTTGACTTTTACAAAAAAAAACATCATTTTTCCCAAGAAAAATAAAACAGAGAATCTTATTTACAAGCCCGTGAAATGAAAATGTGCGCGCAGTACGTAGGCCATATCACTATATGATTTTTTTTTGTAGTACACTTATTTGATAATTTTATATGAGAGAACGCGGAAGCAAGATGTAATTTTGTTGAGGTGAGAATTGGCAAATCAATGCACAGCGATTATTGCCTTTCTTCCATTTTTATAGAAAGAAGAAATATGTATGCACGCGCGCATGCATACAGACAACAAACATTTATATACATATATAGATATTTTTCGTTAAAGCGTGTGCACTCGTACCTTTTATAATTATTATAAAAAAAATATATATATATATGCGGAATCTTTCTTTATTAACAATGTAAATTTGCAACGTGTAGAACTGTTTGTTAAATAAAGAGAATTAAAATAAGAGAATTTCGAAATGCTGACTACTGTCACTGCGTTAATATTCTTTGCTTCTGCACTTGTACACAATCCAATTGTCTCATATTTTTTAGACATTCGCAATATACATGACTGCATGTTTTTACAACAATAATCGCTGTGTAAGTGGCATCATTTTGCATGCACAAGCGTCTTGTATGAATTGTTAACTTATCAATCTTATTGTACCAAACTTTACAATATTTAATATAATATGAAAAATGTTTTACAAAGTTCTTGTCTTTTTTTTCAGATTCTTCAGAAAACTTAATAAAATAAAATTCAATAAAATTTTATTTTGAAGTTATGAAGTTTCGTGTACACATGATAATAAAAAATGTAAGTTTAAAATAAGCAGAACGAGTACGTGTTTTGCAATAACACAGTATTGCATACTAAGCAAATTTTGACAAATTTTCTTGTCGCTTACGTAAATAATGATCTCAACATTATTAATATATTAACAATAATAGTAATAGTGTAAAATTTAGGTAATAATTATATTATATTTGGAAATTAGTTTGACATACACGTTATATACAATTTTATGCAAGAAAAATATATATTTTATTCTAAAGACAACATTTCTAACATCGTTTCAAAAATTTCAAGCTTACATATTGTACAATTGCATATAATGTGTTAATTGTTTGCAAAAAAATTGGTAACTGTCAATGGTTTTGTATATAATTTTCTATACAACCCTAATTCAAATTTTTGCCAAATGGGGTTTTGCTTGGCTCAATGGGGTTTGAGTCTCGACTAAGGCTAGAAATTACACGCAGTGTGGCCAGATTTGAGACGCGAGCAACATTAATGGAGGGAGCACCGCACACATGCGCAAACCATCTAAAATTTTAGCCAAGACTCAAACCAAATGGTTTAAATCTTGAATGAAATTTATCATTTGGCTTGAGTCTTGGCGGTCTTGGCTGAGTTCGAGTCTGGGCCACACTGATTACACGTACGCAATATATCTAGTCATTTCGTGGTTTACATGCAATCTTTTCAAGAACATCTCATTCACAATGTAATTGTATAATAATATTTTTATAATTTTTTTATAAAATCGTGAAGTTGATTGATATTTTTCTCTTTTTAACCAAATAAATGGTTGCCATTGATTTTATTAGGTACGAATGATGTTTACTAACGTAATTTGAAGAAACTTAAATCTATTGTAGTGATTGTTAATATTATTGTAAGCTGATTGATTGAAAAAAGAGACTTTGATTAGGTGAATTCTTTTTAGTATTTTTCTTTTATGTCAATTGTCAACTTTGCGCTTTAAAATAAATGCTTGCTCTACATCAGCTGACACAAGTGATACTAAAGATGACATTTTATTTGTAGGTTAGCAATCACAGGTGATGCTAAGTGGTGATCAATCGTAACGAATTAATATAGTGCTCAATTTTTATTCTCAAATAACTATATAGATAATTGTGTATTCTAACAATTATTATCTTAAAAATGTTGAACGATATACCGAAAAGACTATCAAAAAGTTCTGAAGCCACAGAGGTAAGCATCAAGATATTCAGATAGCTAACATTGCTAATATTTTGATTATTGAGTCATTCGACGTCTTTTTATAAAACAAAATTTGTAAAATTGAAATTATTGCTCAACTCTTAGATACTAACTTCTCTAAAATTATGATATTTACAGTAAAATTATTTTGTAGTTAATTTATCATATCCTGTATATCTATTTCATGTTGGATTATTTATTCAAATATCTAATGGAATGCACTTTTAGGTTGATGTTCGCGAGGATGAGGAACAAGCCACAAAATTCCAAGAGATCATTGATTTACTCGTTGCAGCAGGTTACTTTAGAGCAAGAATAAAAGGTTTATCAAACTTTGATAAGGTATGTAAATTCTTTTTAATATTTATGTTAAATTTACATATACAACTTAAAAATGATGTTTAATTAGGTTGTTGGTGGTATGACCTGGTGTATAGAATCATGCAACTTTGACGTAGATGTGGATTTACTTTTTCAAGAAAATCTTACAATTGGTCAAAAAATGTATGTATATATATTAAGAAAATTTATATTACGTAGAATTTAAGTTTAATTTTTTTTATTTTTATTAAATTTCAAAATTTTGTTTTTATCCAGAAATGTTTCAAGATAACTTTTATATATCTTATGAAACATGTTACAGTTCTTTGACAGAGAAAATTGTGGTCATGCTTCCCAAAATGAATTGCCCATATCGAATAGAACCGCATCAAATACAAGGTTTAGATTGCATTCATATATTCCCAGTTATCCAATGGTTAGTGAAGCGTTCCATGGAAATGCGACAGGAAATGGCAGGTTTTGTAAGATCCTTTGCATTGAATCAGTTTCATAAAAAACATTCATTTAGTGAAGATTCTGAGATTGGAGCAACAGCTAATGAAAACATCATTAGAAATTTACGTTCTGTCAAGGTGTGTATAATTTATTTCTATAAAAACAAAAGATCATGTGTAATGAATACAATTTTATATTTCTTTGCTTTGAATTAGAAAGCCTATGAACCACGACGTTTATTCAAACAAAAAGAAGGATATGTGAAAGACGAATCGAGCAGATTCATTAGCACAGTGTTGGAATATGAAGCACCTTTTGACGCTGTTACGAATAAATCCTCAACAGCATCGATAGACTCTAAAGCCAATAATTCAAAATGCGAATCTAATAATGAAAAAAATGAAAAGGTATAAAATTATTTTTATATTTATTTCTTTAGTAGTAAATATTTGTAATACAAAATTTTATATATTAATATTTTTATAGAACATTACCGAACAGATTACTGCTGCTCTAGCTGTGATAGAAGAAAATTCGGTATGTAGAAAAGTATTTTCAAGAAATTTTATTTATTAGAGAAGGAGATAATTTTTGAAACTATTTTGAATTAATAACTTTAGATCAATTTCAAGTGAAAGAATTTTTTGATCATTTAAAGTTATGTTGTGTTCAATATTGTTTTTTTTTTTTTAATTAAATTATATTATTAAATTGTAATTATATTATTATGTAATTATTTTTAATGCAGGCACGTTTAAGTGTGAGCACAGTTGGAAACATTGTTGGAATACAAGCGCAAGAAATTGCTAAAGTGGCAGAGAAGTATGCGACTATGTTCTACTTCGGGAAAACAGAGGTAAATTTGCATATGAAATGTATCTGTCTGATATAATTAAGGTGTAATGTAGTACAATAAATTGATAATTTTTTTTATTGATGCAGGACAGTGGTGCAACTGATTCGTCGCGCGCTTTGATCACATTGCAAAAACAAAAGGCAATATTGCAATCTAGAGCCCGTAAATTAGCAAAGGAAAGAGACAGCTTATCGGATAAACTAACAGAACTAGTAGACAAAACGAAAGAACATCGTACGAAAAAAGAAGCCATTGAGCGCTCCTTTAAAAAGATTCAGGAAATCGGAATTAATGATAACGATAGGTGAGAGTAATAAGTTTATGAAAATAATTGTCAATTAAATTATATATTAATTAATTTATTAGACATAATAATTTATATTTTTGCTAAATAAGAATCTATTTTGTAGCGTTTTCAAGCGATTGGAGGAACTTCTCTCTGTACACGAAGGATTGAAAGAACAAGAACACAATTTTCGAGAGCAATGCAAATCGGATCTTAATCTTTTTCGAGATATGTTGCAAGAAATTGAAAACGGTGCTCCGGCGGAGGAAGAGGATCGTATCAAAGAATATCAGGAGCAAAAGGAAGCTGTAGCGCGAGTACGATTACAGTTGGCTAAGAAGAATAGAGCTATCGCGTCCTTAACAAGGCAATTGGATGATGTTCCAGGACGTTCCGAATTAACTCAATATCAACGACGCTTTATGGAACTCTACAATCAAGGTTAACTAAATTCATTAATTTTTAATTTTGAACGTTGAGGTTAATCGTGCAATCTGAAAATAACTATTTCCGATTTTAAAAATGTTGCAGTTTCGGCCAAGCACAAAGAAACTAAACAGTATTATACATTATATAATACTCTCGATGATACAAAGCTATATTTAAGCAAGGAATTGTCACTGCTGAATTCCATTCAAGATAACTACAATGAGTATGTAACAAATATTAATGGCTTTAAATATATTTGTTATATTAGCAATATATATATATTTGATATATTTATGATAGGGCTATGGCATCAGCAAGCTGTAAAGAGCAGTTCTTAAAACAATTCGAGACAATTGTTGCAGGAGTGAAGCGTAACAAAGCAATGGTAAGCAAAGTAATACAGAGTAGAATATTATTTTATTTTACTTTATCTTGATCAGGATTGATTTGAACTAATGTTAACTGGATATTTTTCATCTATAAATACTATGTGTTTAAATTTTTCAATTTTGTATGACCTTGAATTCTTCTTAAATGATAAATTAGTATTATAGAATTAAAAAAATTATTTTTAATTAACAAAATAATATCTTATTTAGGTGGAAAAACGTTGTACAGATGAAAAAACTCGGCGAGATGCGCTTAGTCGACAGCTGGTTACTCTTATAGAACAGCAACGTAAATATGTTGCAGCAGTGAGACAGCTCACTATTGAATGCCGCAAGAATGAAGCTTTACTGGCTCAGCTTCGTGGTTCATAAGTTCCATTTACATTACAAAAAGCTGTATAGCAATTTGCTATGCATGAGAAAAAATATTATTTAATTCTTTTCCTACACACATAGCAAAAATTACTATAATGTTCAAAATATATATAATACAAAATGTTTATATACTATATATAATGTAAAAATTATTTTTTATTATAAATTTTAAATGATTTGCATTTGTTTACAGCAATTAGAAAATATTTTTAGCAAAATTCAAAAATCTCAATCCCCCCTTCACCTCCCCCCCCCCCAATAATATATAATTTCCTGTAAAAATATTTATAGGCTATGTTTGTGATGTACATGTGATAATATACAATTATATATATCATAATATTTATATGTGAAAAATATTTTATTCCTTTATTCTGACATTATTATATTAGGAGAAACAAAAATATTCTTGAGTGTTTTTCTGCAAGAAAAAGTGAATTGTATGTTATTAATATACATAACTGTTGTGTTTTCGTTGCTTTTATAATATATTCTTTCTATAGAAGAAACAAAAACATTCTTGACGGTGTTTTTCTTTATCATATATAATTAATAGTGACAGCAGAGTAATATCTCGCTTTGTGATGCGTGTGTGCGATGATTCATAATCTTTGAAATTATAAAATGAGCATTTTTAGCTGTTGCACATAAGAGTGTAAAACATGTTGCAATCGTTCTTAGTAACGATCGCTCGCAATACGTAAGAGACGATATAAATTAAAATAGTAGTAGTAAATATCGGGCGTCGCATGATGTCGGGCTTTATTGAAGCGCACATCAATCCAATTACATCACATCCATGTATGTATATACTGCGGATAATAATTTTGAGCCGATAATAGACTACACTACGTTTCGTTTATTTCTCTCTTTTCGCATCTCGCACGACGCTACGATTTAATATACTGCGAAGTGCAGTTGTGCGCGTTTCAGTTGCACACGATACAGCGTGTGATATGTGTGTCTTTCTCGAAAAGATCGTGACACGTTTTCTTCGGTGAGACGCGCCAAAATCGCGGGACCGTCAACGCAATTTTGGTGCATCGTGCGTATTTCACATTCGGATATATAATTCTGGATACTTTCGGCACTCTATCTCAACATTTTTTTATTTGCTCCAATTTTTGGTTATATATTGTTTTGCTGTTAAAACAAAGTGTAACAGTGCAGCTGAAAAGAACAGACTTAACTTCCAAATCTTTTCGACGTCGATCATACATACATAGTCTGTCGTCGAACTGCGCAGAACATTCGACTCCGATCGCGTAATCCTCTTTCTCTCCTCATTTCTTTAGTCCTCAGTTAGCATTAGCATCCTGCTATTTTCAATATAGATATTTGCGTGTTTCTTTTGCTGTCGCGTCGCGGGTGAGAAAAAGAGATAGAAAAACAACGAGCGGAGGGGGAGGGAAAGAAGAAAAGCAGAAGTGTTATTGACAGTTATTGATAGTCGATAATCGTGCGATGCTGCGATCGCACAGTTGCGAGTGATCGAGCGACGATCTCTCGGTGGAGCGTGCGAATATGACGCCATCGAGTGACAGAAATTCTACTAGTACGTTCCGACGGCTCGGACTGAGTTGATCCTTCTTGGGGTTACGTTGTCCCCAAGCGGCGATAGCGTGATCGCTGAAATTGCGTGGAGAAGAAGCACGGCATTGAAGGTTTGTTTCTTATGAGCGGTGTAGTGGGCAGTCCGCAGCGTGAATCATGGCGAAGGATGAAGGGGACGACATGCTGCCGGACAAGGACGCGGCGAAGGGATTCTACGCCAAGTACGAGCCCAAGGAAATCCTAGGAAGGTGCGTCGCATTCCACCCCGAGTGTGCCTTCTTATTGCTATTATTAATTGTTGACTCGTGTCTGCGCTGGTAACGAATACCGCTCTCGTATTATTTTTGTGTGTGGCGCCAGCGATCACGGTGAATGAGTGCACAAATTAACGATGGATTATTCTTCAAATTGACATTACATAATTAACGCAAATTTCGAAAAATTCTCGTGTAACTTCGTCGGTATACCATTATATTAGTGGATTTGGCTGATTAGGCTTAATCTTTCGGAACATATTTCAGAGGGATATCTTCCACTGTGAGACGGTGCATAGAAAAAGAGACAGGTTTAGAATATGCAGCTAAAATTATAGACATCAGCAATGAGACTCATGAAGATGGTCATACTATGAAGGATGCTACACTGCAAGAAGTACAAATACTTCGTAGAGTAGCTGGACATCCTTACATCAGTAAGTTTCCGACTTGTATTGTTCTTTAAAAACCATTCTGCGAAGAGGCGATATCAATAGTTTAGAAAAATTCTTTCATTTCTTTTGAAATGTTTCATAACAAAGCAAGAGATTATCATTATTTTTTTTTTGCTTCCAGTTGAATTGCATGATGTTTTTGAATCTAGTACGTTTATATTTTTAATTTTTGAATTATGTAAAAATGGAGAATTGTTTGATTATCTCACATCTGTTGTGACACTTTCTGAAAAGAAGACGCGTTATATCATGAGACAAGTATTTGAAGGAATTCAGCATGTGCACAATCAGGGTATTGTGCATAGGGATTTAAAACCTGAGAATATATTGCTTGATGACAACTTGAATGTGAAGATAACAGATTTTGGCTTTGCCAGAATATTAAAGTCTGGGGAAAAATTGGAAGGTATGTTTTATTTTTTTTTTTTTGTTTACGTCTAATTGCTGTATTTTGAAAAATACACTTTTTAAATTGTCACATATTTTGCAGACCTTTGTGGTACGCCCGGCTATTTAGCACCAGAAGTATTAAAGTGTAACATGTTTGACAATGCGGACGGTTATGGATTCGAAGTTGATATGTAAGATTTGTTTATACAGTTATAACTTTCATAAAGTTTTGTAGTTTATTGAGTCTTTTACACTATATTGATATAATTTTTATAGATTTGATCGTGAATTTAAATATATTATAGCTGTTTCGTACATTCTATTATTTTCACCATTTTTTCTATTTCTGATGTAATAGATGGGCATGTGGTGTGATTATGTTTACCCTATTGGTTGGCTGTCCTCCATTTTGGCATCGGAAACAAATGGTTATGCTTCGAAATATAATGGAAGGAAAATATTCATTCACATCTCCTGAATGGGTCGACATAACAGGTAAATATTTCTAGTCAAAGGCTAGATTTAGAAAAAAATTTTTTTTAACGACGAATTATTGACATAACGGATATGTGTGTTTGTTGTGTGTTTCAGAGGCCCCAAAAGATTTAATAAGAAAGTTACTAGTAGTTGACCCGAAGAAACGAATTTCTATAAAAGAAGCTTTGGATCATTCGTTCTTCCACACTGTTGTAAGTACTTAATATTGTGCATATGCGCGAAGAAATGCGCCGACTGACATTTATAACTTTTAATTTAAGTTTAAATTAAGAGTAAACCTAATTTAATAGATAAGAGGCTCTATTGAATAACTAATGCATATTTTTATACACATGTTTCGCTATGGAATTACAATATATTGTCATTCATTACAATTACAGTATATTTGTTTGCTTTATTTATTTCTGCTCTCTTTACTCCGAAATATGCTTTCAGCCATCTTAATGTTATAAGTACTTTTATATCTAAGAATTGCAATGTGCATAGCCAGGATGAAAGAAATGCACATACATGCACAAATATAATAACTACTTTTCTACAATCCCATGTAGCGCAAATATGGAATTTACGTATAAATATTGCACATAAAGTCACCTATCTATCTAATGATCAGCTTTTATTATTTTAATTTTATTTTTTACTGACCAAATATCACGAAATAGATATAATTGTCATACTTGATACGTTATAATATAATTATAAAGTATCAGTTATTGGCCTTACAGCTGTGGGATCAAGACATCGCTCCTCTAAAACATTCTCTGTCAACTAACTCGCGACGTCTGAGTAGGATATCTCAGTTAGCTTTGGTAAATTATTTTCCTTTTTATTTTGTTTGACAAAACAAAACAAAAAAACTTTACCAATTACCTTTATCATTTTTATATAACAATTAACATTTATAATCTTATTCATTTACCTTCATCTATAATCTTAATCATTTATTTATCTTAGACCAAATATTTGACTGCCAAGGCCATAATTATACAGAATGATTAAAAATGATACAGACAATGTTTGTAAGTTGATAGATGAGGACTCAGGAAAAAGAAAACTAAGCATTTTTGAAGACACAACTCGCGTAGCTGCAAAATTTAATATTTTCAGATATGGATTATCTCTTCAAAACTGCTTAGTTTGTCGCTCTCAACTTTCAAATATCGTCAGTCTTATTTTCAATTATTCTCAAGCATTATCTATATTGTTTGGAGTTATTTGTAGATATTTATGTAGTAAAATCATGTTTGAATATTTAGAGCTTCTTTTTTTCAACCGACTATATTTGGCATAAAAAGCAATTTATTAAAAGCATTCGAAACGTGTGTTTGGACGTGTGTGTTAATATTAAAACATTTTATCCATTTTCTGTCGTCTTATTATCAGTGATCAGTTTCATCACATTGATAGAAAAGAAGGCTTTATTTATAATTACATTTAGAGAATGGAAGTGTGATAATATTGTTTTTAATATGCATACAATATGAATACTAATTTTCAATAATTTAGATGACTTAGTACGACTTGATAGTTTCTCGTATTTTTTTGCTGAGAAGCTGATTTATATCACATATCTCTTATGTATTGCACAGGAGTTGAAGGCCAAATCATTCAATGCACGGAAGAGATTCCAGTTGGCAATTATTTGTGTACGAGCAGTTATCCGTATTAAACGACTTCATATCACGCCTGAACCACTTTCAACACAAGTAGCTTGCACCGATCCCTATAGAATCAAAATTCTGCGGAAGGTAATTTATCTTCTATGTGATAACAAAAGTATTATTATTAAGAATGGACTTGGTGATTATAATTACAGTGTAACACATTTGTGTGTACATTGGATGTTTGTATATTGAATATTGTATGAGTGCAAGAATAGGTGTGAGAAACAGACTAATTGGCGAATTTTGATCTTGACATAATACCAAAAATAGCTTTAATATATACGTTTCAGCATTCTATTGCCAAATCTGTCTATCAATTATAATTGCAATTGCAATTTAGATATCACGTATTGTACAAAGAAAAAAAGCAATTACAACTTTAATTAGAAATTAACTATATTATATAAATTGATTTGAAATTTATAATAATGTATAATTGATATGATTTCAATTATATTAGGATATATGTCGAGAACTTTTCAAAGTTATTTTAAGACTGAAGATGAGTGTGAGATTTGTATGAGGCTAAGATTGAAACTGATTGAATGTGAATAGTTTGTTAAATAATTAGCGTTTGTTAAATGATTTTTTCGCACGATCCTTCTCAGGTAATCGATGGCTGCGCGTTTCGAGTTTATGGTCATTGGGTGAAGAAGGGAGAGGGTCAGAATCGGGCAGCACTTTTCGAAAATACACCAAAGACAGAATTGAAGCATCTGTACGTTAGTAATTTAAGTAGGTAACTATTGCTTTTTTAAATTGATCTAGTTAAATTTATTGCTAATAGAATCTCAATAATAAGATGAAACGTTAATAAGATATGTTAGAGAAAAGTGTTCGGAAAAAAAAAAAAAAATAAGTGGTCTTTCTGATTACATCATAGTGATTAAGTATATTTAAATATTTAGAATGATCAGAATTATACTAGAATTCACATCTATATAAAATTCTGAAATACACATTTTAATACGATTATTCGGTATGTTAACTAATTAAAAATAAAAAAAAAAAAAAAAAAAAACGTATTTCTATAATTAAGTGTGACGACAAAATGTAATAATTTCCAGTAATATTTTTAAATATACTAAAATTTTGATAAAATGCGACAATATATTATCACTGTCACATAATAAGTGGTAATGTAATCAAGTTACTAAAAAATCTTTAAAATTCTTATTCTGTTTTAATGGAAACACAGAGTATGGCACTAATAATTGCTAATGAAAAAAAAGATGCCTTTCTTTAAACTGCTATACCTTGTAACATACTTTGTTATATAATACGTAATGTACTTGTAATGCTAATATGTTTAATTCTTACGAATTATCTTATGCGCAATATAAAATTCCAAACTAGTGTTATGGGTAGAGATACAGTTTTAAAGATCCATTTTAGATCAGTTTCCATTAGAGAATATAATTTACATAAAATCTAGTCACAATTTTTGTACAAATGCATTTGTACAAAAATTTGCCTAAGGCATAGGATGATACATTTCTGTGAAACATTAATACTTAATTAAGTCGAGCAAAATTTATTACAAAAATCTTTAATGAAGCCTAAAAATGCATATCACATATTTCAGAAATGTTACGTATTTCTGAAATTCAAATATGAGCATACATATTTCTAAATATTTTATTGATGTTCATATGATCATTATTGATTTAACATATCAATGAAAAATTTAGATTTTTTAAATGAAAGTTATACATTTTTTCTGATTCTATGTATTTGATCATTAAAGATATATACTTTGTTAATAAGATTATTGTTTACATTAATTTCAAAGGTAATTCAAATTGCATAAAAAATTGTCACTTGTATTACAATTTGTTTCTAAAAAAGCAATTTTTGTTAAAGATTCTACTAATATTACATATATATAAAATTTGTAAGAATTTCTACAGTGTTATATCAATGATGTTCAAAAATGTATTATTATCATTGTTTTTTGATAGTGTGTGCTTGTATTTTGTCATAACTTGATGACAATAGTTTTGCATAAATATAATTATACAAATTACGAATTATAAATTGTTATGAATAATAGCAAATATATATCAATAAGTATATCTATATTGTAACAAATAATAGGAATGTTCTTAGGAAAAAATTATGTGATATATATAAAATTAGAAGAGTTTAAAACTAAAATTTAAATAGAAACAAACCTTTTCTACAACATATACATGCAACTTATTCAATTAACTATAAATATCAGAACTGAGGTGTTTATTGAATATAAAATTTTTCCAGGATTTTATATACAATATGTAATGTTAAATTCATATGACATACAGTATGCATCATTCTATGTATAGTAAATTTTATAGTTTAAATTTGTAAATAAAATTATATGCTTTAACTCAGGTATTTATCTATGCTCACGTATTTAAATAATTAATTTAATTCAGCTCCTTTTCAGATTTCATTATTTTATAAGAATTTATTTATCGAATAACGCTTCTATTATTGTTTATATTGTTGTCTTCACTATATTTTATATTTTGAATGCATTTTTTTACAACAATTTTTTTTCTGGAGTGCGCTTGTCATAAGCAATTGATTGGTAGGCGATTTTTTAGAATAAAAAAAGATTTGTAAGAATATATTTTTGGCGGTTACAGTTGTCTCACGCGACCTCGTGGACGCGCGCGCTCGCGAAAGTAAACAATGGAGCGTACCTCCGTCCGGTAGACAGAAACGGCAACATCGCACACGTTTGCGCGCGCGCGTGCGGCGGCGATCCATGTGACAGAGAAGGAACGTGACAAAAGGTGGCGGAGGGTGACGCTGCCGCCGTGCGATCCGAGCGCGAGTGTTTGCCCGGGCGAGCCGGGTGTCGGGTGTGCTCTGCTCTGCGCGGCGCGTTCTTTCACGTTTCGCGTACGTGTCCGTGCGCTTGCGGCGTCGTGCGACGTAGGGTAAGCATTAGGTTCTCGCGGTGGAACGTTTCGCGTAACGTGTCGCGTGCCCGCAGTGAAGAGAACGTGACGGGGGGCAAAGCGGCCGCAGAGACGGAGTGCGCGGATTTAACGGCTGACCGCCGTTACACAGGACGACGATAACGACGACGACGACGACCGACCGACCGACCGACGAAACGAACGACCGAAAGGCAGGAAAGCTCCGCGATACTTGTCTTCACACGCCCAGCCAGCGGGATTGCTGCGTCACATGGGCCGCGCTCATTCGTCGATACAGCCGGGTGACGTCACATACCGCGCGACGATTGGACGGCAACGCGGTGCCCGGACACGTGAATCGTGGCCGAGCAGGCATGGCAGTTTGATGCGCAGTGGTTTTCAGCACTTGTAAGATGCCATCGCCACGCGCCAGATCGATCAGGTTATAACCCGCGTTTCGCCGCGCGCTCCGAAACGGTCGGTCCGTCGCGCGGTCGCGGTTACGGGCATTTCTTTTCGCGTCGGTACGCCGTGTTGTCGGCCGCTCGCTTAATCCGATCGGACACGGCGAAGCGTTCCTCGCCACGCGCGCTCCTGACAGAATCACACAAATACGCGGATATCGTGCTCAAGCCAGACGAGTGAAGAGTGAGTGAGCGAATTTCATAGCGGAAAGAGGGTGCGAGACTATTTATCCGCTCATCGCGGTAGTGTCTACTCGTCGCTGTAGGGCTCGTCGTTCTAGCCTGTGTGTATCAACGCGTCAATCAGGATACGTGCGTTTCAGTTCGTAAGTTTTGGCGGAGGAGCCGAGCTCTGTGTGCCCTCTCTGTCTCTTCACTTCCTATCTCTATTTGTCTTCGCCTACATCTTTCTCTCTTTCTCGAACCACCACGCCCGTTCGAGAGAAAGAGCGAGCGGGACGGGAAAAGACGGATCGCGCTCGCGTTCGCGCGCGCACGCGACAGAGAGGAAGAGGGGGAGGAAGAGAGAGAGACAGTGAGCCTCGACGGACCATTATCTTCTCCGTTACTAGCGCCTATTTAATTAACATGTGTATAGAGGTGGTTGCGTGGCGTGTTTTCCGTGCCATAATAGAGCTGGCCAATGGCGCGACGTCCAACCAGTGACGTCACACGCCGCGAGTGTTGCGATTGGCCGGCGTTGCGTGCGTCGTCGACCGATCTAACGTGCGTGTTGCTTTGTCAGTTTTCGGAGCTCGCGTGGCTAGCGGCAGCACGCTTCCTTGACTTTTCGCGAAGACGCGCGCCGTTTGAGCCATCGCGTGTGCACTTCCCTTGTCGTTGCCGACGACGACGCTGCTGCCGCTAGTTAATCGCCGCGAACCGTCGTGCCGTGCCGCGCGTTTGTTCCCTCCATTATTTTCGCGTCCCAACCCCGCGCGTCTCCCGCAGAGAATGCGAGCGCGACCGCACATCGTGGACGTCGTGCGTTTTCGCGATTTCGCCGGCCGAGGTATATCTGCTTTCCAAATCAACATACCAGGCATCCAAGTTTCGTTTTGATCAGTTTTTACTCCAGTGATTTAAATAACGACTCTATTTCTTTCTTTTCTGCATTTGTATTGTATAATCTTCGCTTGCAATGTGCTTGTTAAACGAGGTATGTTTTTTTTTTTTTTTTTTTAATTGTGAATTAAAATATAGCGATCAATTGTTTACTTTCGTTTATATTTACTCTTACTGTGTCCGGCTGTAGTACAAGTGTAAGCTTTATCTTTGTTGCTTGATATTTACTCGTAACATCGCTTATTGTTCGTAAAAGTACATTTTTCAGGATAAAATAATCTTTTTTTGGCACAGGTTTTCGTGATTTTTATGCGCTGATATGCTACAATCACGTACATTCTCGTAGTCGCCTTTGCGCACGCAAACTCCACGTAACGAGACGCCACCACTAGTCTCTCCTTTCTTTTTTTACCATGCACGATTCGAGCGGTGGAGGAACAACACGATTCGCGAGAACATATATGCCTGCGCGTTCCTGCGAACTGTCGTCTCAATTTCTGATGCTGCATCGAATTCGTATTCCGAAATAAAGCGCCCCTGTCGATCGATCTTATCGTAAAGTAAATCGCGCGAGTTGCAAGAATTAATTTGGCTTGACAGAATTGATAAAAAGATTGGATGTGATTAGTGTTGCAAGTCTGTTGTTGTAGAAAATAGAATCAAATGGTTCACTGTTATGTAAAATCACAAGTCTGTCAGGTATCGAAATGTGTCGAGATGAGAAGAAAAACTGTCTTACAACCGCAATGTTTTACATCTCTTCGATTGCACGAGATAAACTGGAAATCATTGTATAACGTGTTTAAATAAAAGCGTATGCATTTCTCATGCCGTACTCAACGTACGTTTTTCACGAGTGCTGTTATCTTGAAACATTCTCGCCTTTTTTAAGTCGCCTGCTCAATTCTCTCGACTCCAGCAACGCGAGCTCGGGATGCGTGCTGCCGTTCTGCGCTGCATAAAAGCCTTGCGACGCGCCTGCGCAGCGCGTTTCCATCTGGTGCGCTGTTGCAAAAGCGGCGTGAGTGGGTAGCCTGAAGGTGGGGATGGAAACGCTTCCCGCGCGACTGCGTTACGTCACGTGTGTACGTCGCGTGACGTACGTCGTAGACACACCGGTTGTGTCCACGACGTCCACGTTATCCTTTAGATAAGCCCGATACGCCGTCCAGCTCAGCGAGCTCTAAACAATGCGGTAAAACCAATCAAGAGATTCTTCAGTTTATTTTTTCTCGAGTTCAGTTATAAAGACGTCGCGCGACAATCTCTCTCTCTCTCTCTTTCTCCGCCACTAACCTTTCTCTAATTGTTTTGTTTTAAAACGTTATCGCGCTCGATATTGCAGCAATAACAGCTTTTATCGTGACATATCAGGAGACTTTTAGATGCCATTGAAAAGTCATACTTTTATCTAAATCTATTGATAAAAATGTGAACTTTTGCTAAAGATTAATTTTTTTTTTTTCCGCGTACAGATTGCCAAGCGCAGCGAGCAGCAACAGAAGGATAGAGACAAAAGATTTGGTCCTGCCAACTCATCGCCGGCGTCCAGAACCGGCGGCGGCTGCGGCGTCGGCGTCGGCGACCGCCGCAACGCCGGCGGTTCGATGCGACGGGCTCAGCACGATCATTCGGCGAGTGTTCGCGAGTTCAAGGAGCCCGCGCAACAGCAGCAGCAACACCACTACCACCATCGGACTACCATCCCTTCCACGCCCGCCGCGACGGAACAACATACCGGTCGCAGGATGAGCCTGGAAACCTTGCTGCAAGCGGCCTACTATGTCGAACAAGAGGAAAAGAAGCGCCTCGCAAGCACCTCTTCCTCCTCTTCCACGGACCTACACTCGTTCGCGTCCACACCGCCCCACTCTAACCATACTTATGCTTCTACCGAGCCACGTGGTGAGTACCACGCGCCGCTTCACGGCGACCTTTCACGACGCGTTGTTACAATACGGAGAGACGTGTAGCGGCGTTGCATTGCATTGTGACGCGAGAGTCAATGTTTCGCATTGACGTTAACATCGAACGGAAATCGATCGGATTTTAGCACGAAAAAAATTGCCTCTTAAATGTTGTTTGAAGTATTTTTTTTATCGTTATCAATCGTAGTTTGTAAGACTTTTTTTTGTAAAAGCGAACAATCGCGAGAATAATTTTATAGAATAATTTGATTTCCTAGATATTTTGATCCTGTCGTACATATTTCTTCGATACGTCACGTTTTTTCTCGAGACATAGATAACGACAGATAAGTGTTGCACATGTTTTTTTACTGCGTCGCTACTAGCGCGACAATTATTTGCACACTGTATGCATGCGACGGTAACTTCGTCGACACAATGAGTAATCAACTGATTAATACCATACTGATTAATAACACGATGTCTCGAGACATGCAAAAATGTTGGCTAAGTCATTTGGCGTGATGGATTTCACATGCGAAAACGGTCGTAACTATAAAATGCATTGTCGTCTGAGTAAGACAGATATCGTAATCTCTTTCCAATGATAAGACAAAGAAGCTTTGAGATTGATGAATCTGCGAAATACGCTCGAGCGCATTGTACGATTAAAGACGCGTTCGCACCAAGCAGGCACTGTCTTGCTTTATTTTATTGTAACTAAATAGAAATCGTGATGCGAAACGTGCTTGTTTCTATTTGATTAGAGCAACAGGCAGATAATAGAGAGAAACCGACGTCATCGATGAAAGAAAAGTAGTGTAGCTGTGAAACTAACTTCAGCAAATTTATTACTACAATAGTTTTTTCTCCCCCCCCCCTCCCCCAGAGATTCTGAGTCAGAAATTATTATCTGTATGCTTTACAAAATTGCAAAGTTGTCCGAACGAATCGAAGCATATACCGTCGATAATCGCATCCACTTCGGCTGAGAAATACTGACACGTACATGCGAATCGCGAGCAATGACCAGCGCGTTCACCGCCTCCAAATTAGGTATGATTTACCTCGCGACAGTGCCTCTCAACTATGGCGAGCATCTCGAGACGAGTAACCAAGACACAAATCCCTGCATTAATCTAGGGTGGATATTCGTGCATCACACATGACTTGTTAGTCAAAAATTTAAAATTGTTTTCATCGATTAATCTTTTTCATCGCAATATGAGCCACTACTTATTTTTTAATCTCGTTCTCTCGATCTTTCATATCTTGAACACTTAAAAATGTTGAATAATCAACACACAGCTTGGAGGCGACGAGTACTTGGGGGTCGCAATAAACGCGTTTTGCCAAGAGTTGTTTAAAATTGACGCAACTTCGTACGAGAGAAGCATTTCTAGTCGTCTCTGTACAGTGTATCGGTCAATTGGTTAGTCGTCCCTGAACGATCGTAATTGCAAGACTAATCGGATCATTGGCCGCCTTCGATTGCCGCTAAGTTTTTCCCGGTCAACGACTTGACCAGTCGCCAATCCTGCGAGGTGGGTTCTCGCGAATCGTGCACGCGAGAAAGAGTACACGGCCGCGTACAAAGCGCGATGATACGCGCGAATAAGCGCCGGTCACTCGCTTTACTTTCTCCCTTTCTCCGTTTTCGAAAAGATCGTCGGATCTGAATTTCTAAAAAAAAAAAAATTATACAAAACGCGATCAAAGATCCTTCTCGTTCATTCGAGACACTCTCGGACAGAGACGGTGCGCCGGTGCTTTTCTCATGACATGCGACTTTTCGTAGTTCCGATATTAATTTTATGTTAACAGAAAGCCGCCGCCGGTGAGTTTTGTGCCGAACGTATTTTACTGCTGCGAGAAACACCGAGGCCGTTGGAATTTTCCCTTTCTCGCGACGTAGCGACCCGCGCGCGAAAGTGCATCACGGATGGAGACGAGTGTTTACGGGGGCTGCGAGGCAAGACGAAGGAAACGGGACTGAGTGAGCGGCCTCGGGGAGGTGGAGGAGGGTGGACGGGCGAAGAACGCGCGAAGGTTTCGGTTGATTCGCCGTGCGCTTTGCGTCTTCCTACTCACGGCGAAATCAACGTGCGCGCACGTTCGAACCACTTGCACGGTGAGCGATAACCGCGAGAGACCGGGTGGAGGGAGGGGGGAGAGAGACCTCAGGGGTGGCGGAAGTCGAGCGACTCCGAGTGGGAGATGAAGAGGTGCCTGTAGGTACCCCGACGAGGTCGAACCGTCATGGGTGCGAGGAGGGAAAGGTGAAGCGTCGCAAAACGCGGGGGGAGGGGGGGAGGAGGAGGGTGGCGAACCCCTACCAGGTACCGCGCGCATGTGTCGGCTGCGAGAAAGAGGGGTCCGAGGGAGCGATCCGGTCACTGACTCTGAAACTACGGCGCGGCAGCCACTCGTGCTTCATTCAGGACCGCGCCATCTACTCGCGCGTTCTATGTCGTGGCTCTCCTTCGCGGCTATATATCCCTCTCGTTCTCTTTCCCGCCCTTTCTCATCACGCATCTTGGTGTGTCGTCCGGTTTTTTTTTTCCCCCTCTTTCCCGCCCTCCCTCCATTCGATCTCGTTCTCTGTAAAGTGAATAATCGGGATTGAAACACCTCGCATTGACATTTCAAATTTAATTAGATTTATCAAGCTTGTTGTTAATCGCTCTTACTTTAACTCGACTTGTTAAATTGCCCATATTGATTTATGCCATTCACACTCTTGTGCACATCTGCATTTTTTGTTGCATAATGTTATATAAGAATACTTGGGAGGACAATTTTAGAGCGCGGCTTATAAATGATTCACTCAGTCTCTTCAAGCAGTCTTCTCGAGTCGATCTAATGATCTTAATTCTGACAATAGATTTGTTTTTTTTTTGTTTCTATTATTATCATATCGCAATTATTGTTTCTATTATTATCATATTATCGTGGTTACGATATGATGTTCATAACATTTCTTATGCATTTGTTTATCTAAATCTTATTGTTACGGTTATAATTGTTGCTTATTTCTTATTATTTCCTCATGCATTTATCAGCCGCCTCAGCCGCTGTAAAATTTCGTCTGTTCTCATCGCTACAGTCGATTTGTCCCACATTTTACAATAGGATTGCAGTAAGATGCACATTGTGCGCGATTTACGCGAAAGTGGTGATGCACAACATGGTGTAATAAGCTTGTGATACGAAGACTATTAAAAACAGTCGCGGTGTAGATTGGATAAATGTTTCCAGAGATCGTTGCGTCAATATGAGTGTTTGAGGGGAGATTGTGATTTTTAGAACACATCAATATAGCAAGAGTCTGCCATTTTTAAGTACATATTTGATATGCACATGAAAGATTAAAAAGTTAAAATGTTAATAACACTCACATAGTGAATAAATTAATCAGAAATATAATTAACATTTTTTTTTTACGGCCATGATGCACGAACATCTAGACAGGGATGCTTAAAGTTCGAGTGGTGCAACTTCATGCCAAAGTATTTTTCACAATCAGTGCAATGATAAATGCGTGCCCACATAAAATTAATTTTGGGTAACTAGATTTGCGCATCTTATCTAGATATTCGTGCATCATGATTGAACACGAGTTTAAATGCGATGCAAAGATTCGGAGTTGTTTGAGATTGACGCAGCTTCGTACTTTAATTAAGAATCGGAGCACGAATTGTATAAAGAGTGAGTTCCACGAATTATATTTCTATTCTATTAATTATATTGTGCGTTGCATACGCTAGGTCAGTAGGGTCTTCCGCGAGATGGAAAAATTTAAGAGTGCCGCTTGCATGCACGACCTCGATCGTAATGCGGATGATTTAAACGCCGTAATTCGCTCCCTATCTCCGTGCATCCGGTCTGTTACCGTGTTGCGCGTGCTGCGCCGACACGACAGTGCGTGATTATACCTGATATAACAGGCAACGTGTGTTAAATGACCGTTTAAGACCGTCTATCGTGTGCACGCGGCTGAAGGATGCAATTCTACTTTATAACGTCGTAACGCGACTGTCATCCTCTGCAATTCATACCGCGCTACGCGAAGGCAGGTCCGTGCAGCAGAAGAATTATGTAATTCGCGACGTTACTCCGCCTGCACCGTTTATTTTTCCAATGAGAACCGTTCAATTGAATTTTTCTGCAAACTACGATGAAAGACGAATCCAGTGAATTTATTATTGATGGTTTTCATCAGTGGAAAATCCAAGCTTTGCAAATGTCAACTATTTGTCAAGGAAAAGGTAAATTAGGTGTATCGAAATTAGGCGACTTTAATCTCCTTCGGTCTAATTAAAAAGGAATATATAAAATGATGTATTCAATTTAGCTGGATATTAGAGAGACTAGGTGCTGCATTGGTAACACACATTGCAGTTATTAAGGTCAATTCCATCCTCGTGTAATGACAGGTATAAATATAGCGACTGCAGCTTACGTAATTCATGAAATTTTAATACTTTCTAGCAATGAATATTATATCATTCCGGGAACACGTAGCTTTATATACATCTCGCCCGATGATCCCGAAAGGGTTGAGCACGCGTGCGGACTATCGGCAACGACCGACGAACACGCGGACAAATCGGCTCCCTGCAGTACGCGTGCGCGTTGTCCCCGGCTAAATCCCCACCTCGGGCGACCGTCCGCGTGGCGTTCTGATCAATCTGCGATGTTGCCGGCTCGTTCGCGGGTGGAAGAGGGTGGTAAACGAGCGGATTGAAACGAGATAGAGCTGCCTTGGCAAGTTTGGATTTTCCCCCCACCTTCGTGGTTTCCCCTCACGTGCTGGCGCGGGTCCCCACCACCTCGCTGCACTTCCCCACCCGTCGTGCCACCCGAACCGTTCGAGGGGATTCTCCTCTCGATCCACCCCTCCACCCCCGCCGCCACCGTCATCCGACAGATCTAGCACGTGGAGACGCGTTTCTTTCAATTTTTCATACCTTATCGACCTGTAGATTCACACCACCCATCACGGTGTGAGATGCACCCGAGAAAATCTGGGATAGACAGGCAGGACAGAGAGAGAGAGAGAGAGAGAGAGAGAGAGAGAGAGAGAGAGAGAGAGAGAGAGAGAGACCCTGCGTTGCATGCGCGATGATGCCGCTCCCTGCGTTTTCCACACTCGTGGTGCGCGTACTTGCGTTGATGGTCTTATCATTGGGAAAGGAAAAGTAGCATGGACAGAATAGCAATTTTTTTACGCGCACACATGACAATTTGAAAGTGTTGAAAAACTTGGGTACATGTAATGTTTACAGAATGGAGGAAGTGTTTAATTATCATACATTTATATCGATCCAGACAAAGATTAGGCAAAGTATTTCAAATCTGTTCCATTTTGGAATAGAAACTAGTTTTGTGTTAAGGCATTGAGAATATTTTGGTAATATTTGAAGTCAAGATTTGATATCAACAGCTGTTTTTATCTCGCCGTATTTTTAGTCGGGATTGATTTGTATCAACTACACATTTTTTTTTTTTTCATTACATTCATAAAATAAGAATTTTTATATTATATTGATTGATGAAGCTTAATGAACAAATGATTTTCTTCTCCGCAGGTACCAAATTCAAAAGAGAACGCACAGAGTCAGATGATCTTTTCTGTGAGGAGAAAATGCTGATTATCGATGGTGAGTACATTTGTACCGTTATTAATTAAAATCCATATTTTACAACGGTCTTCCAATTCTATGCAGAATATATAAATGTTATAAAATATCGACGAGCTAAAAGCGTGCACATTATGCGTTATTATAGTAAGTACAGTACAATCGCAACAGTTGCGACATACATATTTTATACGACGAGAATATTATTCTGCATTAACAACGTCGACAATTTCTGCATTAATAATGCAGCACTTGATATAGTTACAAATACGAAATTGCATTTCAAATCAAAGGAAGGTTATTCAATAGCTAATTAGTGTTCGCCGTTTCTTCTGGAGCGTAATACAGATTTGTCGTTTTATTGAAAAAAAAAAAGTAGAAAAATATTGAAAATTCGTTGTCGAAAAATGCCTGTAAGTAAAATCCGGTGCTAAATATGGCCAGACACTGTTCTCGCGATGGAGCGTGCGCGACTTGACGTGATCTCGAGTGCCAACGTGTCGCGCCGCCGCGGAGCAAGTCCTTCGATAAGGACAGCATGATCGCGCCGAGTGGTGACTGGAGGCAGTCTCGCGAGGACGGTGATGTCACT